TTAGGCATCTATCCTATTATTGATATCGTAAGACGAGTCGTAGAGAAAACGTAAGCTTTTTGATCTTAGTTTCCTATATGCCCAAAATCCTGATAACTTAAATAACGTATCGTCCGAAAGGTTTAGCCACAAATTGTAGTTGTACATAAATGAATTATTTCATTCCATATCAGTTGCATAGTAACATGTCGGTCGGTCGCTAAGGGAAAAACATAACATACAATTTCAAAAATAATAATATTGAATTTGATATTAAATGTTACTGTAATAAAGATAATTTTTGATTATTATTAAAAATGTCAATGACTCGTTTGACGTCAATCCCTTTAGGTATCACTGATACGTGATAAGAATTAAGGTTAATTATTTTTATAAATAATATGCGATTAAGATTGTGTATAAATAAGTGAAACGAGCTATGTTGTAATTTCCGGTGTGTTTCATATTAAAAATCTAAACAAAAGTTATTGTTTCTATATCTGATTTTGCATGCACAACAACAAATTCAGCCAGGTCGAGGTTTTCAACTTTGACCGACTTTTTCAGGGTTAGGTTAGTCTAAGAGGCATAAATCAGCGCGTAGCTACACCTACTTATTAGCGTTGAATTAGTTCTTGACAAGATAATCAACAGAACGAACGCCCACAGATATTGTTATTTTTTTTTTCAAAGGTGCATTAAACACTAATTTTGAAGTAGTTTAAAATCCAGAAATCCAAAACAAATTGCATTTACCTTTGGAATAATTCGTAAAGTATGGCAATTAGCAGCGATCAAACCGAGTACTTAATATTTATTTAAATTTTACAGCCGAAACCATAAGTTTCGTGTACGGCTGTAGAATAAGGCCGATCACGCCATCGCACGGCGCCGTGCCGGGGGATTCCCGACAATAGGTATTTCACTTTGTGCACGTGCAATTTACTGTGACTCTATAAAAATATTTACTACGTGGCACATTTACAACGGTTGTTGATTTCACAATGGGATATAAATGCAAACGCATCGGTTAAATTATTTACGGGTACGTCCCGGTTCTGCGTGCACTAAAGAGCAGTTTGTTTTGCGGCTAGTTCTATAGGAGAGGAAAACTTATATTTGCTATTGTTCTAATTTTAGCGGTAAAAAATACCATTATGTGTATGTATTTGTAATCTGCTGTATTATCAACATGATTTTTTACGAATACAAATTATTTTTAAATGAGGAATAATCATATCGAAAACTTATTTGTAGTTCTATATTTTCCACGAAACTAACTAGGCGCGCAACTACCACCAATCCGTAGAATACAAATAAAAGATTTCAAGAAACCCAAGTCTATACAAAGCAATATAGTTAATCGCGGTCCGTCTTAGTCCAGGCGGTGGAGTAAGCCCCAATTCGTCAGGTTCTCGCTTCTCTGGACGATTGATAATGATCGAGCGACACAAAGTAACGCCTAGTTCCATCCATATCCTGTGCCAGTGACGACGTGGAAAACGTTTGCTGGGTATATTTGTTACGTCCTGTCTTATTTGCTCGCTTTTATTGCGAATTCACGTGTACGTCGGTTTGAGGCATTCTTTGAGCACAAACAAATAATTGAGCTATCGTGTGTCGTACACGATAGCTCAATTATCTGCAACAACGGAATTATTCTAACCCTAAAATGCTGATTATATTACATTCTCACCGAAACCAGTTTTGGTATATATGAGAAGATTCATCACTTCCATTCACACGGTCGGGACGCGAGCGGTGCGACGACGCACCAAAACCTGTTTCATAGAGACAGGTGTCCCTCCACCCGGCCTATTGAAGCTTTTTTGTTTATTTTCCTTTATAATTGCTGCCTTAAGCGTGCCGTGCGCGGCATTTCAACTCATGAACTCTCCGACATGTCTGGTTATACGAAACTTACTATTTGGGGCCTTAGATGCACTAGTATGTATAAGTTTCTATTACAAAATAGATCCAGCAATGAAATTGGAAGTGTAAGCGTTACCAAAAAGTAAAGAAACACTATTTTTCAAGTAAATAATGCATGACGTGAAACTTACAATCAAACAAAAACCATGTTACTGTGTGTAAAAATATGTACATGTAACGTACACAGACGTTCGAAAGCGTTCATTGTTTTATAATAATATATGAAATTAATTACATTTTCTAGCAGCACTACGCGTAGGAATTGCTAGGTGGCACGTAATTTCCCCGGGGCGGTTTGACGAACGGAGGATAACAGTTCAAGCTAAGAGCGGGTAGCGAATAACTTTCCACGGAGGTAGGTACTTCACTAAATTTCAATACCAACAAGATTGTAGATAGACCGGCTGGTATCGATATATCGATATGCGTGTTTCTCACAGTGTCTAGAAAGGGACCGTTTTCGCTACAACTTGTTACTTATGGTAACGTCATCAGAGACGTGGGAAGTTCAACGTGTAACGTCGGGACGTATTCAAAGTGTTTATATTGTTATGAAGACGGATAGAGACGAGATCGGAAGCGCCGATATTATCGTGTCAAGCAGGAATGCGAATTCTCTTAGCGTGTTCAGAAATATCAGATGTATCGTCCTCCATGCGCGGAGCTGAAGAATTTCAGTAGCAGAAGCCAACATGAGGTGCATGGGAACATTTTAAACAATTTGTATAACTTGTTAATGGTTGTTTCCGGGCATAGCATTTATGCATGATTATACCGATCAGCAGTGAATGAATACCAGTTTTTTGTCCAAGGTTGAGTTGTTTGTCCTCTCTAATTTGAAGATAATTTTTAAATTGGATGCGTCTCTAGGTCAGTACTCAGCTCTGCTCAGATCGCTACTTGTACGGCGCATTATAAAATTATTGCAATCATCCGCTTATCAAGTAAACAAAGTTTGCGGCATCGCGCGCTGCAATATATTTATTTATCAATGAGTAAATATATTGTGTTATCAACAACCTGTTACCTGGTAAGGTTCGCCTTGACGTTTGCAAGTTGATATGTAATGAACTAGTTTCCATGAATGATAAGATTAATTTTGGCGCCTAAGAGTAATTTGGCTGAATCATGCTGCGTATGTCAATATGCGCTAACATTTTCAAAGAATTAAGGACGTCATATTTTTTGTAGTTCTTATTTCAATTAAAATCTCTTCACGAAATATTGTAATCAAAAATGTCTTGTATAATGAGGAGTATTAATCATAGTTCACATAATCTGATGACACACAAATATTACGCATGCCTCTCTCGCTAGTTGGCAAGTGGCTTTATCGCGCGAATAACGACTATCTAATAAGATTTTTTGCGAAATAAATCTATTTGTGCGAACACATTTTTCAACATCATCACGGCACTAAACTAATAAACAACAAGATTTTTTCATTAGTATAATAATTTCAAATTGTGTGATATGATATGACTGGGGTACTAGCATAACTAGGTACTTCATTTCTACTGGTCACGAATACAAATTGCTCTTTTCATTGAGAAGACAAACTATAATTTTATTCTTAGAGTAACAAAATATGAAAATACAAACAAAAATAAAAATATAGTCCAGCAACTAGTAACAGAATCTGCTTAAAAGCGGATCCGCAAACAAGAATTAGTGTCAAAATGTATTTTTGACGCATCCATTTACTGGGACACAGTGTAAAACACACATTGAGCAAAGTAAACAAAACTATAAATAGATATCCGAGTACACGTGTACCGAGCACGCTATTAAGTCGTGATGCACAATCAACGTGTTATCACTTAGATACTACTCGGTAATCGGGATATAGGCAAGTTTATTTTTTTTATTATCATATTATTTGTTCTATCACCTTTAGAGGCTTATTTGAATTTGATGTCATTGGAACGCTTTGTATTTCTATGTGACCAGCTAAAACGTGTTTTAAGTATTCAATTAAATACCGATTTAAATTAATTCCGTTTGTCATTCTTTTATTTCTGCCAGTCTGCAGTCCTTTGTTTATATTTACGTAATAATTTACTTGTGGATTGTGTACTGAAAAAAATGCGCAAAATACATGAAAATAATCTTGACACTGATAACCGGAGTTGATTAAAATGAAATCACAAGTTATTTAAGTGAAATAAGTCACGAAATTTCCAAAAAAAGAGGCGTGATAAACATTATTATTGTTGTTTGTAATTCTTATCGGGGAGAAGTAGATTATTTAATTGAAGACAATAGGAAAATAACTTGATTATTAATAGACGTGAGATTTAGTTTTTTTAACTTAATACGTACATTATCTATATGCATGTTTTCTTTAATAACATTTGGTGAACAAACAATAAGGTGCATATTAGTAAACATGCAAGTAATTTATTAAAGCACAGCGTACCAGAGGATAGAGTTTACGTAAACAAGGGTTGCAATAGTAAAATAAAAAGTAGAAGAGAAATAAAAAGTCCGCACACAGTTGTGCACAAACACGGACGGGCGCCAGTAATCCACTTAGTGATTATTTTATAATGTCTACTACAGTAATCAACAAGATTAAACTTCAATGCTAGCTCGAGTCCGGTGCAAAGTATAGAGCGAAGCGACGAAACAAGGAGTGGCGCTAGCCGATAGTCGATAAAAATTGGTGACTCATGTTCTTCCAATGATGTATTATTGTATTGAAACGGCATCGAGATACCACTGGAATTATCCTTAAAGGAATTTCGATATCAACGCGACGTTCTGATAAAGCGTTATGGCAACAGGTTGTCGTCAATTGATATTTTGTTTGGTGATAAATTTTATCAACATATATAATGTTGTTCGAAACAAATTCGTTCTCTTGCGCACGTTTTTCGACAATTCGATTATAAAATTTAATACTCTCCATGCCATGGCATGGGAAGTAGACCTTATAATATATTTATTAGGTTAACGTGGAACAAGTTTTTCCTATTATCATCTTATGACTAATAAAAAACCCTTTGACTAACTACCTACATACATGGCGTCTAGAAACGCCCTATAATGGTTGTGATAATCAACATACATAAAATATTTGCACTTACGTCAACTCAATGACGAATCGAAGTCATCAGAATAGGTACATACCTGCAACAAATAATAAAATCAGTTAGACAAAGTTGTATATGAATTATTTTCTGCAAGTCTTTATAAAAAAAGTGTATTAAAAGGAAACCGCACACAATCCCACGTTCCTTGTTATTACATTGAATATTAAATAAGTATAGACCTATGTACATATCAAGTTCATAGAGTAAATACAGCGGGGGTTTCATTTTTCCTTTCATAGTTTAGAAGCAATAGAGGCATATGTGAAATATTAACGGCGTTGCCCTGCGCTGCGGTCCCGTGTTCAATTTACAAGCTGCTATAACGGAACTATTTTAAAATATCAAGTAACCATGTCAAGGATGAGTAATTTTGGTGATTAATGAGTGTGATTAGATAATGCGGGCTCCTTTATTAAAATATCGTTGCGGATAAGCTTTCGAGAACAGTTTTAGGGGACAGAAAGTCATTTGATATGATATCATCTTCGGGATTTTTTTAACGATGATTTGCAGGAATATATTAATGATCTCCAAGTTCGTCGAAAGGATATGAATCACTATCTGTTTATATTCTCATGGCGCTTATTCTTAAATCTGATGCAAGCTTCCGTGTTACTTTGAAATGCATCAAAATAATCTCAACACATTTATTCTGGTAGGACTTCTGTGAATTTAATCCAAGATAACAATGTTGTCGACAGTGATAAATCAGTTTTTGTCAGTTCCATTCCGAGTAATGCGAAAAAATCTCTGAGATATCCGTTGCAAAACGTAGCGAAGTCCATACGTTAGTATTATACAAAGACATTAATAATGTATCGTTTGAGGTTAACCGTCCAAAGGTCATGTTTGGGCCAGACAAATCTCCATTAAAAGCGACCCAGGGAAAGGTCACGCTTTTGGCTTTCATCGCACATAATTACGACTTGATCCTATGTCCTCGAGCGTTGTGAAATACATCTGTACCATGAAGATTTCACGAATACTGCTTCAGATATAGACAAATAACATTTTAGGGCTTCTAACAAGAGCTTGATACCGATTAGGCTTTACAATTTAAGCGTAACATACCGTTTACACTGAAATGTGGATTTAGTTTATGATATAACGGAGTTATTACTATGGTAAAGATATATTTTGGTAATACATAAATAGTCCAAGGGTTTAATGTTGAATTTTGTATTAATATTTTATCAAATACAGAACTTTTCAGAAAGCTATGAATCGTTACTAGCTACTTGGTGTTTACTTATACTTATAATACTTTCAAGATAATGATGGTGTGTATATTTTTACACAGAATAAAGTTAACACCTGTTAGGTATATGGATCTGAGTGTCAGTTTTTATTGAAGCAGATGTGCATAACAGTTACAACAATACGCTTACAAGTCATTTGCATATCTTAGCTATTGACTCGTCTAGACTTTGTTTGAATTAGTGTTCAACGAACTGAGACAAGTCTGATTTACGAGACGGGTAAAATTTCTGCCAAGATGCACAGAGAACAAATGCACTACACTTGCAGTGCGCCATTAATAAAAAGTAGACCACTCAAGGAATCAATTAGACCAAATGTTTCTAAACTTCTAGTGGAGGAACAATAGACACATGTATGAAATAATATTCATTCATAACAATACTTCCGTGTTCCTTATTTATTGGCCCTTAAAATAGAGTCCTAAATAAACCCCATATAAAATTTATTTTCGATTACACGAGCGTAAAACCCCGGAGCACAGGGTGATGTAGATAAACCAAAAGGATTGTGGATTTTCCTGGTACGTTCAGATCATAACAAACCGTATGGCCGTTATCTTAAAACTTGTTTTTATATGTATAGACATTAAAATTAATAGGCACATTCGATGAAAATAAAACAATCAAATTGGATTTTTTTTGTTATTTTTAGAACGTGATGATCAGTTTATATGTCCGTGGAAATGCACAAATATAGGTGATTAATTTGGTCAAGTAAAACAGAGAGAATAAAGTGAATCATAGCTATTAATCAAGAATTTGATAATATGTTTAACTTGATTCAATATAAATCAGCAACAAATATTTATAACTAATACAGAAAATACAGATATAAATTACTACCTAAGTGTTCCATCTGGATGAAATATTAATCATATTGTATGTTTCAGGTTGTTCTAAAATAAGAAAATCACTACACAGTATAGGTACCTTCATACAGAGATAGTATAAAAGCAAATAAATGAATCACATCCATTAAAACGCTACATAAGGAAATTGGTCACATTTCTCTGGCGTTTAATTCGAATGAAAACAGGAAAACATAGACTTATTTAATTAAATAATAATAATTGATTAATTATTATAAACCAAGTGTCATGGGGTTTTTCGAAGTCTCGTTCACAGCTCGCCGTCTCTTACATGAAGTTTGAAAAGATAACTAGAGAAAAGTGGATGTTACTTCTATCTTAATTTAATCGTATCTGCCGACGTTTTTTAAGTAATGAACAGGCATGCACGATGTTATATTAATATTAAATTAAGACTGAGTGAGTGGTAGCGATAACTCGAGTGCACATGATGCATCAATTTAGAAATCAAAAAATAAGGTATTGTATAGGTAGCGTCATCCTCGCTAATTATACTAGTAGTAGGCACTAATCTGGGCACGCTGTCACAATATTTAAAGATGAACACATTCATAAAAAAATATTTATACTCTATGGTCATCTCACTGGCAACATCATTGTACTTCTTTGTGCACGACCTGTCACGTCGTACCCTGGAAAATTTTTCAATTTAATTTGGTGATTTTCCTACTAAATGCGTCGAAAACGTCGCAAGCAGATAGGAAAACTGATGGAGTGTATGCAGGAATTGGATAATTGGGCGAAACCGGCGAGAGGACGCATTCGTTGTCGTCAGTTTGGTAAGTTTTTTCTTGTAGGTACTTACACCACATTGTGGGGCGTTTTCCAATAGCTTCCACAAGCGGATAGCCTTGAGAATGATTGTGTACGCAACATACACACTTGAAACGTACCATAAGAGCCCTCAGGAGAGGTGAGCCATTGGTTATACGTTTTCTATATACCTAGATTAAACCACAAGAGCCTTCACGAGAGGTCGGCCGTTGGTTACACGTTTACTATAGATCGAAACCACAAGAGCCTTCACGAGAGGTTGGCCGTTGGTTACATGTTTACTATAGATTAAACCACAAGAGCCTTCACGAGAGGTTGGCCGTTGGTTACATGTTTACTATAGATCGAACCACAAGAGCCTTCACGAGAGGTTGGCCGTTGGTTACATGTTTACTATAGATCGAACCACAAGAGCCTTCACGAGAGGTTGGCCGTTGGTTACATGTTTACTATAGATCGAACCACAAGAGCCTTCACGAGAGGTTGGCCGTTGGTTACATGTTTACTGTAGATCGAACCACAAGAGCCTTCACGAGAGGTTGGCCGTTGGTAACTCTACTATAGAATTAACCACAAGAGCTTTCACGAGAGGTTAGCCATTGGTTTACTTGACTTTGGAACGAACCACAAGAGCTTTCACGAGAGGTCAGCCGTTGGTTACTTGACTTTGAAGCAAACCACAAGAGCTTTCACGAGAGGTTAGCCACGGGTTTAAGTCACATTTAGTCAAACATTTCCAACTGCAATCCTAGAGCTTTCACGAGAGGTTAGCCGTGGATCATTTAAACTACCTTGCAGTTAGAAACTTAAAATCAGTTCGCTTTGCCTCAGAAGAACATGAAGCCATTCCAGTTGAAGCCGCTCACCATGGCATGGCACCGAAGCCAATCAACATGAGTTGGAAACTACTCCTATAGTCTCGCTCCAGTCAGTAAATATACTCCGGAGCAATTGCTACCTATGCTTATGGGAAATGGGACATTTCCTTAGCCAGCTATTCCATAGTGTTGCATGTTGGACAAAGCCATTCTTATCAAATGATTACACTTATTTTCCCTTTTCATAATTATTATAACCTAATTCCTCCCAATGTCTCAAATAAATGAGGAGGGGAGGAGGTGCCACTAAATAAAGATGGGATTGAGTGAGACGATAGGATTGTGAATATCAAATGACTCTAGGAGCAGTTACTGTTCGCAAATTAATTAACAAACCTATTAAAGATTTTAAGGATACAGCCAGACTGCTCTGTAAATTATTAACATGTGCCCCTGAATGAAGATCAGAACACAAATAGGTGTTCTAGCTATATATACAGTAATAAATAGTGCTTCAAGACAAGTTTATTGCAAGTAAAGCTATCAGAGAGTCTAAACTTGAATTGGAGAACATCCAAGAAAACCTTTTAGACTACCAACTTCATGCCAACCACATCAACAAACACTGTGTGATGTACAAACAACAAGTGTGTGTGTGTGTGTGTGTGTGAGCAAAAACCAAAACTAAAGCGAACACATGATTACAAGAAAATCAACAAGGCCGATGCATCCTCTACAGAATTTCTAATTCTACCCACAGCACTGAGGTCCGGATCATCGCTAGTACAGGTAGATCACATTACCTTTCTGAACAATAGAGTTCTGCTTTAGGTTTCCCAACCATACTTAGTTGGATTAATAGGTATAAATTACCATCACTGATATTCCTGTTCAGACAAATATACCACAAAATACCCACATAGGTGTAAAAGCAAAATAATTTTACTTCTGAAGGAAAATTGTTAAAGCTAAGGTGCTGTACTGTACCATATATGTAGATAACTGACTAAGTGATTACTTGCCAGTTTATCTTCACATTCCAGAACAAATGGTCCTTCAGGCAATTAAATAATTAAGGACTATAATAAATTATGTTACTATTAATATAAACAATGGATCTAGAACCATTTCTAAAACTCCTCATATGTTGAAGTGTCTTCAGATGCATGATCAACTTAAGAATGCATTTTATTTAATATCAGTGAAGGAAAATGGTGAATGACAAACATTTGCGGTTCTTATTTGTCTTCCCAAAGAGTAACCTTATACATTGTATAGTATTGATTACACGAAATTATGTTGATGATATTCCTTAAT